TTTGTTTTAGTCTTTGTTTCTTTAAAAGTTTATTTTAGACAATTTGAAAATATTCTGAAGTCAAAAAGCAAAAAAAAAAAAAAAGTTTTGTATTTTCTTCTTTTTGTCTTTCTGCATATGCTAATATTTATACAATGGCATGGACTGCAATATATATATATATATATATATATATATATATATATATGCATATCCGTCCTTCAGGAGTTGCCTCAAATGTCACCTGCCCCAGGAAGTCTGCTCTGCTTTCTCCAATCAGCTGTAATAGCTGCAATCTCTCGATTAGCACTATGTGTTAGCTAGTCTTGAAAGACGGCCTCCCAGTGAGCCACGTGTCCCAGTATTCACACCTTTATGTGGTCCCTTCCCCTTGAATCTGATTCGATCCTGCGCCTCACTTATAACCAATAGAACGTAGTGGAAAGGACACTGAATTCCGAGGCTGGGTCCTAAGAACGCCTGTAGCTTCCAGCTGGGCCACTAGGATCCAGAGGAGGCCGGTCACCATGGTGGAAGTCAGCCACCAGGTACAAAGTCTGGCTAGTCTCAGACCACCTGGCTGGTCACATGGAACAGCCACATGGAGAGAGAGAAAGAGACACCCCAGCCGAGGAACAAGACACATGAGCTCATCATCCATCTGGAACATCTTGAACCTCCAGCCCAGTGGAGCCCTTAGATGACCCCCAGCCTGACCGCCACCTGACTGCCATTGCTGGAGAGACACCACATGAGAAACTCCCAGCAGAACCCAGTCAATGATGTGATAGAATAATAAAGTACGATCTTCAGTTGCTAAGTATGGAGCCATTTGCTACAAGGCAACCGGTAATCAGAACACACCAATTTTATCCTGATTGGGATCTGAATGCAAGAGACCAGGCCTGATTCACTGCACAGAATGCTCAGACAGTGTTAGAATAAACAGAGGGAGGAAGATAGAGAGGGAGGGAGGGAGGGAGGGCATCCGAGATTCTCAAGGACCCTCAGTAAATTACTCCCGGAGGTGAAGCCAGGACTCCGGGCTCCTGGCCCATATCCCCCAGGGCTGCTGGCCCCTGCCCCGGGGGGACACATCCCCTGCAGGGAGGGTGCACTCACCGGACAACGTCCACTGCCCCCGGCCGGACCTTGGGGTCGCTTCCCATGATGGACACGCTGGCCGCAAAGGAGCCGTCGATGCTGAAGACCACGCACTCCATGCCCCGGGGCAGCACCGTAAGGTAGCTCATCGCGCAGGTCTGGTCGCCCCTGAAAGGTATGGCCAGCCGTGCGCTCAAGGTCAGGTGTCAGCCTGAGGCCAAGGTCAGCCCACAGCCGGGGTCAGAGCTCAGTCGGGGCCAGGCTGAGAGAGAACCTGGGCGGCATCTCCTGATGCTACAGCTGTGACCGCATCCCATTTTCCTCTCTCCCTGCAGACGAGGACAGGGTCCCGAAGGCGGTACCTCGAGGTCCCCATCTTCTGGACAGGCCTGGCTGGCGGGGCCATGGAACCGGGTGAAAGCACCATGAGAATGTCGCCTGGGCCTTACCTGACGACCATCTTCACGGGGTAGACGCCGAGCCCCAGGCGCCGGGGCCGCGGCACGCTGTACGTGATTCGGCCGCTGCTGTTCGTGATCTCCGTGTCCAAGTGCACCCAGCGGCCAGAGGAAGGCTCTGCCATCACCAGGATGTCCACCTGCAGGCAGTGAGGGGACCAGGGGAATCGCTGAAGGCCGGGGGGCTGGGGCTGGGCTTGGGAGCTCTTCTCTGCCAAGACAGCACGGCTTGGGGTCCTGTCCGATGCTAGTTCCTGGCTCCCACCACCTTTCCTCTTTCCACTGCAGCTTCTCCGAGGCACCCGGTCCATCCCTCACTCCCGCTCTCCCTCCCTGACCTGCGTGAGCATCTCCCACCTCGTGCAGCCAGGCCTTCCGCAGCCCTCACCCCACGTGCCACGTGGTACCCAGGAGGGGATGGCCCAGCCTCTGTACCTTCTCCCCGGTCAGGGCCACCATGTCGAGGGGCCCGTACATGAACCGTCCCACCAGGACCTGGGGGCCGTCTTCGGCAGCAATCACGTCGTTGGCCCGGTGGTTGGCGGTGACATTCTGGAAGGACAGAAACCAGCTCAACTTCTGCAAGGGGACTTGACCTGGCTTTTCCCTTACGTCAGCCACAGGATCAGCTGGAGGGATGCGCACCTGCCGGATATTGCCTTCCTTCCTATTAACCTCGTTAGAGTTTCCGAGACGTGTGCCCATGGAATCCACGAGGGAAACAGACCCTTAGACCCTCACGTTGTCTCCACGGAGCCCTGAGCTCCTGCAGACCAGCATTCTCCGCTCTTGATTCTCCGCATGGCCCGGAGGTAACAGCCAGTCCTCAGAGCCTGGCATCCCCCTAGACCCCCAGGCTGGAAACTGAGGGTCACCTTCACTCCTTCCTTCCTCATCACGGCTCACATCCAGTAGCCGTTTACCATCCGTCTTTGCTTCGTGGGTGATTTAAATGTCAAGAGTAGAGAAAACAGTGTAGGAAGTCTCGTGTGGCCGGAAACCAGTCATGGCCATTCTGGTTCTGTTCTTCCCTGGCTGGATGCCCCCGCCCCGCTCCAGATCATTCTGGAGCAATGCTGGACGTCACGTCACTTGTCTGTAACTATCCCAGCATCCCCATCCCTTCTTCACGCCTGGTTTCAGTTCATCCCGTAGCCCTACATTGGCCCCAGCTGCCCACCACTCCCAGCCTGGCTTCAAGACCCAAACCGCTCTATCTTTACAGAACCACCCACATCTGTGTCTTTTCCCACACCCAGGTACCTCTCCCCTGGGCTCTGCTAGTAGCATCTTAAAGGAGCGCCCTTATTCAAAAACATTCCCCGTGGCAGATCAACCGTCTTCATAAAGCACAGATCTTTGAACCCCCCGGGGCCCTCGGGATGAGGCACAAATCCTGAGCCCGGCATCAAAACTTTGCTGGGCAATCTGTTCAGTCCCATCTCCTGCTGCTGCCCTTTGAAGCCCCACTGGTTCTTTCAGGTCAGGCTCCGCAGAGGTCTCTGGGCCTTTGCCCACACTGGTCCCCCCACTTTCTATGGCATCCCTGGTCCCCTGCCTCCTTCTTCCAGCCCATCCACTAAGCCCTGACTCAACCTTGTCCTCTCCAAGAAGCACTGCTGGGCTCCCCAGAGGTGGTCTCTACCTCCTCTCAACCCCCGTGGCATTTTAATTCAATTCAACAAACATCTGCAGGCACCTCATCTGCACTGGTCCCAGAGCTGGGCTCTGGGGATGCAGAGAGGAACCAGTCATGGACCCTGACCTGGAAACCCTCAGTCAAGTGGGAGATGCAGGCCTGCTCACAAGAATACTGATAAGGGAAGAGCTCATTCATGGAAATAAACACATGGAAAGATGCCGTAAAAAGGAATTAAGTACTGACACAAACCACAACGTGGATGAACCTTGAAAAGGGTGCTCAGTGAAAGAAGCCAGACACAAGGAACCACATGTTGTGTGATTCCATTATATGAAATGTCCAGAATAGGCAAATCTATAGAGACAGAAAGTAGATTAGTGGTTGCTTAAGGTTAGGGGTGGCAGTAGGGGGCTGGGGGAGGGGGGTGGTAGCTAAAGGGTAAGGGGTTTCTTTTGGAGGTGATGGAAATGACCTAAAATTAACCATGATGATGGTTGCACACATCGGTGAATATACTAAGATACATTGAACTGCACACTTTAAGTGGGTGAATTGTATAAAAAGTGGTTATAGCTCAATAAATATGTTTACCAAAAAAAAAAGAGTTGATTCATGGATCACTGATCACCTTGTACCATTCAGGACTGTTCTTGGGGTCCATGTCTGATGTTCCCACAGGACTGGAAGTGCCCACCACAGCAGTGGCTGTGCTTGTAAATCCCTGTGCCCCACTGCCTGGCAGAGGGTCTCGGACACAGTGGGTATTGACCATCGTTTGCCGAGTAAATGAATGTATGCCTACTGAACTCCTATTCATACGTCAATACCTTGCAGAGATGATGCTTCTTCAGGGAAGCGCTGCACGGCCTGCCCTGACAATCCTTCTCTTCATGATCTTCCTAATCTGTGCCTCCCTCTATATGATGGCAAATGCCACACCGGGCTCTGAGCCCCGTGGTTGTGTGCAGGACTCTTTCGGACCCCTGGGTACGTCTACAGAGGCCTGGCATATAGCAATTGCTCCACAACTGGCATCTCCTCACCATCCCCAGCGCCCTGGAGCCCCACCCGTGGTGCTCCTGTGGAGCCAGGCCACAGGCAACCAGCTCCCCATCTCACCTACTCCCCCCGCCCCCTCCACTGCAGCCCTGGGGGCCTCGTCTAAGCCTGAATGCCAGTATGTATGAGCACGGAGAGCTGAGAAGCGAACCAAAGCCCTTCCCCGCCGTTTGGATGCCCCAGCCCCCGGGGGCAGCCCCACCTCCCCGAGACCACAGCCTCAACCCGTAGGTACCTCCAACAAGCACATACCCGCAGCTTGACCTGGGTCCTCTTACGAAGCCACTTCTCGCGGGGATTGGTGGGGCTCAGTGCTGCGGGGTCCAAGCCAGCGCTCTCCTTGACGTTCACGCTCTCATAGCGCATCACCTGATCAGCGGCCCAGCAGGACTCCGGGTCAGGCCGTCTGGACCCCTCTCCCTCCTCCCCATGGTGTCAGGGCCCTCCAGCTTGCGGCCAGTCAGGCCCTCCCCCAGGCCTCCCCACCTCCCAGCCTGGGACCCTCAGGAGGCTGGGAGCCCCCAGCACCTACCACTCTGCCCACCTGTCCTGACAGCTGGGGCCAGACCACTGTCTCTCAAATGCTCTGGCCTGGGAGCAGCCTCTGCTCTCGACACCCAAACCTAGCAGCCACCTGCGTCTGTACTCACTCTCTGCCTTCCCCCATTACAGTGGGTGACCCTTATTGAAGGCCAGCTGGAGCCCTGGTCCCACCCAGCCCCACCCACCTCCTCAAGAACATAATGGAGCCAGCTCCCCTCTCAACCCTACATGGCTGGCTAGTCCCTCACTACTGGATCATTCTCCTTAGCATCTAAATATGCCGGCATAGTGCCTCTCCCTAGGACCCCTCTCAACAACCATCACATGTTCCTGTTCTCCCTGACAACAAAAGTCCACAGAAGACTCGCCCTGCACTGTCTCCACTTCCCCCCTGCCTTCTCCCCTCCCTCACTCCAGGCAGGCTTCTGACCCTGTGTCTCCCCTGAAGCCACTCTTGCCAAGGCCCCGTGACCTCCATCCTGCCCAGCTCAGCGGCGCCTCCCGTCTATCGGCTCTGGTCCTCCTCCCTGAACTTCTCCGTCTACAGTAAGTCCCTCGGCATCTGTGATATTGTGATTTATAGGAAGTATATATTTGGTCTTTGTCCAATTTCTGGCACAAAGCTCCTCAAATCCTTGCAATTTCCTAAGCGAGAGGGACAAAGGTGTCTTTCGTTATGTTAACGAGGTGACTTGAACCGCATCTAAGGACGGGGCTGGTTGCCAGGAGAACCAACCTTGTGATCAGAGGGTTGGAACTTTCAGTCCCGCCCCAGCCCCACATCACCAACTCCGGAGAGGGGAGAGGGGCTGCAGGTTGGAGTTCAATCACCGATGGCCAGTGATTTAATCCACCATGTCTATGTAATGAAGCCTCCACAAAAACCCAAAAGGATGGGGTTTGGAGATCTTCCAGGTTGGCGAACGCATGGGAATTGGGGGACAGTGGTGCCCTCAGAGAGGGCATGGAAGCTCCAACTCCTTTCCCCATACCCTGCCCTTTGCATCTCTTCCATCTGGCTGTTCCTTTTTATAAAATCCTTTTATAATTAACCAGTAATCTAGTAAATAAACTGAGTTCTGTGAGCCACTCTAGAAAATTAACTGAATCCAAGGAGAGGATCTTTGGAACCTCCATTCTATAGCCTGTGAGTCAGAAAACCTGGGTGAGGGACTTCCCTGGTGGTCCAGTGGTAGAGAATCCACCTCCCGACGCAGGGGACGTGAGTTCAATCCCTGGTCGGGGAACTAAGATCCCACGTGCTGCGGGGCAACTAAAACCCGCGCACCACAACTACTGAGCTCACACGCCTCAACAAGAGAGCCCGCGTGCCGCAACTAGAGAGAGAAAAACCTGCATGCCACAACTAGAGAGAAGCCCATGTGCTGCAATGAAAGGACCCACATGCCTCATTGAAGATCTCATGTGCGCCAACTAAGACCCAACGCAGCCAAAAAAAAATAAAGAAAAAAATTTTTCATGATGTTTAAAAAAGAAAAAAGAGAGAGAGAAACCCAGGTGACGACCTGAAGATGGACATCTGATGGGGGAGGGGCGGGCAGTTGTAGGGCTGAGCCCTTAACCTGCGGGATCTGACCCTATCTCTAGGTAGATAATGTCAAAACTGAGTGAAATTGTAGGACACCCAGCTGAGGTCAGAGACTTGCCTGCTGTGGGGAAAAAACCCACACGTGGGAATTGGCGCGAGAAGCAGGGCAACCCATCACTGGCTTTAAATGCCATCCAAGCTCTGATGACTCCACATTTTTATCTCCAAGCCAGCTAAGCTCCAGACTCTCCGCTCACCTTCCCTCCCAACATCTAACAGGCATCTCATCTTCCCAGGTCCAGACCCAAGACTCAGTATCCCCTCCCGCCCAGCCCGGCTCTTCCCCAGCCCTAGGGCATGGTGTCACCGTAGTTAATCGAGTGGAAACCAGGATTCGTGGG